TGACAAGACAACTACAGCGTTACAACAGGCATTAGAGGTGCACTGAGAAGACCAGCGTGAGCCAAAGGATTGAAGATTATCTAATGAGCAAATGGAGAGAAAACCTGAAGAAGGTAGTGAATAATAGGTCTGAACTAGCAAAGAAACCCACTCTGTGAGCTAAGCCACTTATTCTGCTGAATGCAATTGTTTTTCATTCCTAATGGTGCGGGGTCCCATTGTGGGAATAAAAGCATGGCACAAACTCTCCAGGCCTCCTCTTTTTTTCCTTGGAGAATCAGTTCTGAATTAGCTATGAAACCTCTTTTGAGTTCACTAACCTCCTGCCTTCCAAACTTCCTCCTTTTTAAGTGGCACCTCAAGCATCTTTTTTTCCATACTTGCTAAATTCATATCTGCTCACTTACCCAGATTTTAAGCATTTTCTCTTTCTAAGTTCAGCAAGTAGTAATATTCTGCCTCAGTACCAAGTAATGACAGAAACTGGAAATTGTTGCTATTTAAAACTAATGCCCTCAGACCAGCAAAAGCCCTCTGGGTTGACTTACGTGTTTCTTTCTTCCTCTGACTCCTCTGCATCAGAAGAGAATTTGGGTGGCTGGAACTCAGTTGTCCATCTCATGCCCTGAGCCTGCTGTGCTGCTTTCAGAGTGTTCTTCCTCTCCAGTGATTCTTGGCGAAGTATATGAAAGTATTCCCCACCTTGCTTCACAGCATTAATATGACGCCTGCCAAAAATCATCACAAGTTGATCAGTGTACTAAAGACACACTATCAAACTAATCAATTTCTCTGTTGCCCATCAGCTTAATTTTTAATAGAGATTTCACATTCTTCCATATTCAAGAGTTCAACATTAGTATTTCCTTCTGCAATATGTTAACAAAGGACAACAATTCCCTGATATGAACTGGGAGATCTTTCCCTTACCTCTTTCAGCACCACACAGGTTAACTATTGGATGTCTTGAACTCAGCTTCACTTTGTCCACTACTTGATTTAAAAACTGTCTGCCTAATTCTAATTTATAGCAGCCAATGACCATTAGGCCCCTCACTGTCTTAACTCAGTTGTCACAGCCTGACAGGCACTGCCCTGAAGCTACTTGTTAGCTGCTAAATTCCAGCTGCTGTCAGAAGGCTGCATTGCCAGTAACGGGGAAGGGGCCAGTGAAGCCTGTGAGTGAACTGAAGACAACAGGCAGGGTATTGCTGCAAGAGAAGAAAATAAAGAAGAAACCACATAATGCACTCCCTGAAGGATGACAACAGAGGTAAAAAAAAAAAAAAAAAAAAAAAAAAGAAAAGGTGAGCTAGGGCAGTGAAAGGGATATGGCACGCAATTACTCTACAGCCTTTGATTAAAACGTTAGCAAGAAGGTAGCAGCTGATCCAAGCCAGACAAGCATACTATCCAGGCATAGGACACATCCCTTTAAGTTAATGTGTTGCTGAGTTTTGAATCAAGTGTCATCAGGCTGTATTGATTCTTTCAAACACAATCTAGGCTTGAAAGCTGGGTCTCATTTGTTCTACTGACAAGTAATAACTCCCTTTTCTTACCAGACATGTATTAAAGCACCTGAAGGTCATATAGGGTGCAAATTTCAGGCTCTGAATTCACTAGTTCTCAAGGGGAGCAGTTTACTCTCTCCTTGCTTCCCTTGATGGAAAACCACTTGCACAATTTAATGGTTTTGGGATTGAGTTTTTGGTTTTGTTGACAATATTTTTTAAGTCCAGCAACTATAAATAGAAGCCTGAAAACATTTCCAGTTCAGGTAGATTATCTGTCTGCTAGATATTTCTACATTAACTTTGGGGTGGGGGGAAGATAAGAAAATAAGATGTCCCTGATAAGAAATGCTGCATGCTTTAATAAAACATAACGATTTCAGAGTCACATCAGACTAGCTTAACGTTTTTCATTAGAACCTAGTATTTTGCATAACAGACTTCTCTTGGAATACTAGAAAACTTTTAATGACCTCAAATTCTTGCTTTATGTCCTTTTCCAGTAGTTTTCTCTCTCTCCTTTCTGTCAACTATCAAGATATTTGTATGTAAAAATATTTTTTCCCCCCTCATAGTGCTTCTTCTATATTTCTGCATGCTCTAATGTAATTATTCCTTCTTAAAGATCAAAACCCCTGCTGTAGCTGTGCATTATAATGCCACAGATAGTGAACAATGAGGTTATTACATGAGTCAAAGACAAGTGGTGGAGAAAGATAATTATAAACTAGAAAGTTCTTTTACACTAACAGCCATAACCAGTATTACTGGAGAAAGAAGCACAAATGGCAAGTACAATCAGTACATTTTTTTAGGGTTTATCTAATACAGAAGACTTTAATAGGCGTATACCAAAATCAATGATCATTCTCATATACCAGTAAGAATAGACAACATTATGCACACTTGTGAATGAACATTTTTAGTCTATGACTTCAAGGAAATCCCTGGTATTACAAGGAGTAGTTCCACAGTCTCCAAGTACAGAAAAAGAAATAAGATAGAATTAACAAAAATGGAGCATACAGAAAAGCTGTAATAACCACCTGATTTAAACAAACAAAAAAAAATCCTCTCATAATTCCATAGAATTATCTCTGGGATATTTATGAATGACCCTAAAGGTTCATGGACTCCCGTCAGGTAAACAGTAAAATATACCCAAAATTAAAATACAGAGGTGACCAATGTACTTTTCTACACTATAGATTTGCAATATATTGCTGGAATAGGACATCAAATATTTCTCCATTTAAATTCTGGCATCACAACATTCTATTTATACAATAACTTCATAAATTTGGCTGGGCTGCCTATTTGACAAGTAGGTGAGAATTGTTCATTAAAATGCAAATGTAATAGAGATGAAATTTGGAATACATTTATTAAAGTAATTGAGCTTCAGTCAACTGTAGTCATAACACAGATTTTCAACTGCCATTCAGACAAAAGGATTTGTCTTATTTTTCTAAGATAATGTCTTTATCAGCATGAAAATTAAAAGAGTTTTCTGAGCAGTAATAATGTACCAAGGAATACTTCAAGGTTTCTCTACAGGAATATATTATTATAGGTAAGGGTCAATGAAATGCACAAAGGAGTGACCCAGTAGTGTACTACACATACAGATTAGTTGAAAGCATATTTTTAGTGCTTGGTGTAACTATGTACTTATTAAATTACTCTTTAAATCTTTTAGGGACTCAAGTTCATCAATTAATTGTAATACAAGGCCACTGAAGTATTGGAGAATTGACCTTTTACAGTTAAGATTTGGGATTCTTGGTGCCTGTCTTTGAGTAAGAAATTGCTCACAAAATCAAAGGAAATAATAAATTTGTCTTAATTAAAATTCAGGTGCTAGAAAAACAGAAGCTATAATAATAATGCCAGAAACCTTTCCATCCAGGTAAAGACAAGGTAGATTGTTTTTTACACTCTGTTTAAATATACCTTGTTTAAGTACACTGGGTCACCTTCACTGAATTCAAAGGAATCATACTAAGGATGTATTTGTCCCAGAAGATCAAATTTTACAATTAACCTCAGACCTACTGTCTATGCAAACAAATTCAGTGGGAGATTGTTTACTAAAGGAATGACGTGCGCTCCTGAACACGTGATGCCAATCCTTGCTCAGGTAAACTGGTATAGCTCCACCCCAAACAGGATTGCTAGAAAGATGGGCAGAAGGCTGCAGACCCATGGGCTGCCCCTCCACTAAGCAACTGAGTTCAATGCAGTGGGTGGTGTTACTGGGGTGCTTCAGTCTCATTAACCCTTCCTGCTAATCTCCCTCTGTCTGTGAGGTGCAAAGAAGTTGCAGTCTATCTATACCAGCTTGATTCTCTCTCTCTCTCCAAAGCTGGACATTATATTATGATCATGGTGAACAAATATTGTGAGCTGTAAGTAAAATAACTGTGTATCTATCAAGCAATTTAACTACACACACATTTCTCTGAACATGGAAATTGTTAGCCACCATTTCATAAAATGACTTACTCAATTTTCTTATCTTAATGGATATAGCCTTTATACCAACAAAGTTAAGGACAAAACACCTACTCCAGAAGGTATACAGAAAGAGTTTAGCCTTTTCCAGAGGCTTATAGCCAACTGTGAATATAAACAAAACCAACGTGGCGTTGCTCTGAAAGCCACTGAGAGCACAGGCTTTCTAAATGCCATTTCCTTTATTTTCACAAAAGCATTTCGATTCACATCTGCAACACTCCCTACTAGACCAGCAAAAGCTCCTCTTTGAGCACAAGGCCAGACCCTGCTGAGGGTGTTGCAAGGTGAATATCAGCTGGGCACTGCCTAACTTGTTGCACTAGTGACAAACTGAATATTGAGCTAAGGCTTCCCAGGTAAAAAAAGCAAGTGCAATTTTATGTACACTGCCACTTAAAAGCATTCAGAGTAAATATTTTCTACAGCAGAAAAAATTACACAACAACAATCCATTTCTGTATAAAACAGAAAGCACAGGAGGCAATAACTTTGAAACGACAGTAAATACAGCTAAACTGTATTCTGAACATTACAGACTAAAACCATGGATTAAAAAAACCAGTATAATTCTTCTAAATGAACACTTAGCATTATTTGCAGCCATGCCATCGTGAGCTGTGATCCCATCACAAGTCTCAGATGAGGCTGATGAGTATTTGGATCCTGAAGAATTCAAACAAATAGCCACCCAAGGAAGCAGTGAGAACAGGAAGCTTGCTTCATTTGGATTAAACTTGAAATCTAAGCCCTTACCTAGTTTTAGGGGGCATTGCGGTACTAGAGGGCCAGTCTTCTTGAACATATAATAAAATGGAATTTCTGACAATCTCAAGTTATTAAGGATCCTATGGTAATCTCTGCAGGACCCCAAGCATTAACACCTGCATTCTCATCAGATTTCAATTGATTAAATGTTACTGTCCTCCCTGCTGTTTCAGTTGGAATAGACACTTTTTTTTCCAGTCTGCCAAAATACTATGTTGTGTGGATGTGCATTAACACACACCAGACCCCATTTGAGCTGTTGCCAAATTCTAACACCTGAAGTGGTTCTTATATGCCCTTTAACTTTCTGACAAGGTACTGTAACACCTAAATAGCTAATAATTGTGAAACAGCAGGAAATGCCAATATAAAAGAAAATCCATAAGCACACAGTGCTTTTCTTATTTACAAAGCATACGCAGAACAATAGGAGAGCAAACTCTGCATTTCTTGTAAATTGTGAACGGTGATACCGATTTATACCAGCGGAGAATCTGTTCCATTCTCTTACGAGGAAATACTGGAGCTGCTGTTCTTTATTGCTTCACATTCAGCATTGTAATGTGAATCTGTGCCAGCATGTCTCAAATTTATTTACATTAAAGATTGTTTCACACCTTTCCTGAGTGACATAAGGTAGTCTCATTGTAAATGAGGATTAGTGCATTGTTCATTTAAAACACACTCAAATGAGTTATTACAAGGTGCATATACTACCCACTCTCTGAAGGTACCAAAAGCCATGGAACTAAGTTTACATGCTGCAGACCCTGAGCTAGCAAGTCCTACTGTTCAGCTCCACATCTGGGTCATACCCTGAAAGCTTAGCATGTGGACAGAAAAAGCTTGCAACTATTCATAATGTGTAGATACTAATGCAAATTAATTATAAATTCTGGTTTGGTAGTGTTTACAGCTAAGTTAGAGGTGCA